GAAGGCTGCCATTTTTCAATATGGCTGCCATTTTAATGGTTTTTACTGTACCTCAAAACGTAGTGGAGGGTTTTTGTTCATATTTGGTATGTGAATACTATAAGCATGGCACACTGTCTAATGACACTTTTGGTAGAAGGCGGCCATTTTGAAAAATGGCGACCATTTTTACATTTTTTACTATAGCTCAAAAAGTAGTAGAGCGATTTTGTTCATATTTTATATGTGAATACTATAAGCATGGCACACTGTCTAATGACACTTTGGGTAGTAGGTGACCATTTTGAAAAATGGCGACCATTTTTACATTTTTTACTATACTGACTCAAAAAGTAGTAGAGCGATTTTGTTCATATTTTATATGTGAATACTATAAGCATGGCACACTGTCTAATGACACTTTGGGTAGTAGGCGACCATTTTGAAAAATGGCGACCATTTTTTAATTTTTTACTATACTGACTCAAAAAGTAGTAGAGCGATTTTGTTCATATTTTATATGTGAATACTATAAGCATGGCACACTGTCTAATGACACTTTGGGAAGTAGGCGACCATTTTGAAAAATGGCGACCATTTTTACATTTTTTACTATACTGACTCAAAAAGTAGTAGAGCGATTTTGTTCATATTTTATATGTGAATACTATAAGCATGGCACACTGTCTAATGACACTTTGGGTAGTAGGCGACCATTTTGAAAAATGGCGACCATTTTTACATTTTTTACTATACTGACTCAAAAAGTAGTAGAGCGATTTTGTTCATATTTTATATGTGAATTCTATAAGCATGGCACACTGTCTAATGACACTTTGGGTAGTAGGCGACCATTTTGAAAAATGGCGACCATTTTTACATTTTTTACTATACTGACTCAAAAAGTAGTAGAGCGATTTTGTTCATATTTTATATGTGAATACTATAAGCATGGCACACTGTCTAATGACACTTTGGGTAGTAGGCGACCATTTTGAAAAATGGCGACCATTTTTACATTTTTTACTATAACTCAAAAACTAGTAGAGCAATTTTGTTCATATTTTATATGTGAATACTATAAGCATGGCACACTGTCTAATGACGCTTTTGGTAGAAGGCGGCCATTTTGAAAAATGGCGACCATTTTTACATTTTTTACTATAGCTCAAAAAGTAGTAGAGCGATTTTGTTCATATTTTATATGTGAATACTATAAGCATGGCACACTGTCTAATGACACTTTGGGTAGTAGGCGACCATTTTGAAAAATGGCGACCATTTTTACATTTTTTACTATAACTCAAAAAGTAGTAGAGCGATTTTGTTCATATTTTATATGTGAATACTATAAGCATGGCACACTGTCTAATGACACTTTGGGTAGTAGGCGACCATTTTGAAAAATGGCGACCATTTTTACATTTTTTACTATAGCTCAAAAAGTAGTAGAGCGATTTTGTTCATATTTTATATGTGAATACTATAAGCATGGCACACTGTCTAATGACACTTTGGGTAGTAGGCGACCATTTTGAAAAATGGCGACCATTTTTACATTTTTTACTATACTGACTCAAAAAGTAGTAGAGCGATTTTGTTCATATTTTATATGTGAATACTATAAGCATGGCACACTGTCTAATGACACTTTGGTTAGTAGGCGACCATTTTGAAAAATGGCGACCATTTTTACATTTTTTACTATACTGACTCAAAAAGTAGTAGAGCGATTTTGTTCATATTTTATATGTGAATACTATAAGCATGGCACACTGTCTAATGACACTTTGGGTAGTAGGCGACCATTTTGAAAATGGCGACCATTTTTACATTTTTTACTATAGCTCAAAAAGTAGTAGAGCGATTTTGTTCATATTTTATATGTGAATACTATAAGCATGGCACACTGTCTAATGACACTTTGGGTAGTAGGTGACCATTTTGAAAAATGGCGACCATTTTTACATTTTTTACTATACTGACTCAAAAAGTAGTAGAGCGATTTTGTTCATATTTTATATGTGAATACTATAAGCATGGCACACTGTCTAATGACACTTTGGGTAGTAGGCGACCATTTTTACATTTTTTACTATACTGACTCAAAAAGTAGTAGAGCGAGTAGTAGAGTAGTATAAGCATGGCACACTGTCTAATGACGCTTTGGGTAGTAGGCGACCATTTTGAAAAATGGCGACCATTTTTACATTTTTTACTATAACTCAAAAAGTAGTAGAGCAATTTTGTTCATATTTTATATGTGAATACTATAAGCATGGCACACTGTCAAATGACACTTTGGGTAAAAGGCAGCCATTTTTCAAAATGACCACCATTTTTTACTCTTTTTATTCTTACTCGAAAAGTAATGGAGCCATTTTGTTATTGGTTATGGGGAAGAGGGTTTGCACCCATCGTGCCTCCCCCCCCCGCCACACCAATGATCTAATACAAATGGTCACCCAAATACTTGAATTGGTGATTATTCTGATATACATGTAACATTTTAATGTTTTTTTTTTATATTTGCAAATCAAGGGTAAGGTAGATGATAAATATTATGTTGTGGCATACAGATTCATGAATTTAGTGTTCTTTGGCATTTGCTGCGCTATGGAGTTTGCATATTTCTAGTACTTTATTCAATTTACTGGACATAAGTGAATGATAAATGAACAAAAGGCACAATACAGAAAAGAAAATAATTTAAATATTATTTGCTTATTTCAGGATGTATGGCATGGGTAATCAGCATGTCAAAAACATATAGATAGAATATGGTGGAATAACAGCAGGGAATAGATGGAAAAACAGATTGCATGTGGAATTGCCACAATACTTCACCGGTATTTATCGTAAAGAACAACTTTTATTTAATTCACTGGAAGGAGCTGTTGACATATGAACAATTAGGATGATAAATGATATGGAGGGCTTGAGGAATGACCACATTACTTCACCAGTGTTTATATACATATATATTAGCTGATTAAAAAATAAAAAGACATATGCAACATTAACAATAGGCATAATATATGATACAGGATGGCACACAAGGATTTATGTACATACTGCAAATCATATTCAAGGATATTTAAATGATACCAGATAGAATGATGATTTGTGACAGTTGTGATTCTTATAGACAATGATGTGAGTCAACTCTGGAGATGCCCCCCCCCCTCACACACAAACAATAGCATTTTGAATCAAGTGTGTACATGCCACCCCTCCCAATAAACTTTAGCAACATTTCAAAGATAAAAGACTGATGTTGATATAATTCAGTACAAAGATGAAAAATGGAATTTTTTGCAAGGGTTAATATAGTATGGTAATTACATAGAGATACATGTATGTGATGGCTTGATAGCATATACTTTGATCAGCATTAGTCAAGTTTTGAAATCACTTTATCCCGCAGCAAATTTTTTTACCAAGCGCTGGTACGGGACAGTGGGTTTGAAAACCTGACTGTCCCGTAGCTCAGTGCTACAAAGTGCTCATACGGGATAAAGGTGTTTGACTTCGTGAATATCCCGCGAGCCCTATAAAATTACGTGACAGTGTAACTTTGATTCATCATATCCCGATCTGTGAAAAACATTTGTCGTGATCGGGACTAAAAATCAGATCTGAAATACGGAGACATGTCATTGGAGGTTCCAAACTTTTGAAAAAATGAATTTCGTTTTATTATATATTCATTTTTAGATATGACTTTAGTATTAGCATTCTAACTTATATGTGTCAAAAGTTACATGATTTTGAAAATAAATTGTGTAAAATTCTCAAGATAGTCCAGTTTAAGGTTAGTCTTCGGCACCTCGTGCATTCTATGGTGATTTAAACTGACACAAGGTACTAATTCTTCCTCGTGTGTTTTCTAGGCCATGGGGCACTAAAAACAAAACTAAAAAATTCATTCAGGAAATAACATATTATTCTAATAAAACATAATGTAAAATGACGATGTATTGCATAGATGTGGCCAATATTAAAATATTTTTCAAATGAATTTGTCAATAGTCCATGGTATGAAATTCCTAGGACGCCTAATCAAGGAGCTGGAAACACAATATAGTGCAGCGATATTTGACCTAATATTTACATACCTACACATGTCGAGTAATGTTTTTTTTTTATCATAGACGTTCAATATTCTTCGGGCTTTTGGGCTGAACTATACGTGTCATTAGCAGGGGTCACAAATAAAAATATAAGTAAAATACAAAAATACGCAATCAGCACATCGACATTTTGAATTATTTTTAAAAAATGGTGATGTGAATGGTATCAATGAATCGTTTTCATATAAGAATGAAATATGCCAAAATTATTGTAGTTTTTCGAAAAATTATTCTTCATTGACTAACTGTGGCTTCAGACTCATGGTGATGATATGGTATAAATTATCTCAATAAAACTTTGAAAAAGTAAAAACATATTTGATTTTTTTAAATAATTCACACAATTTTGTCGAGTCTGCTTGACCTGTCCAACATTTGAAAAAATAAACAAAATATAATTAACACATTTATATAATTAAACTAATTAACAACTAGAAATTAGCATCACATTTGACACAATGATAATCCAAGTTATTGTAAATATGCTTATTGCTTCCAATAACCATGGGTATGCCCTAACTGTGCTCATCTGGAATTAAATTAGACCATTTACATTTACCGGTGCTTTGTGGTGTACACTTACAGTAGTTAAATTCCGACACTATCTCTCATGAAGTGAGAGCTTTACCTCTATTCTGTACTTTTTAGTACATGTACAGTATTAGATCAAAGGAACTAGAAGGGTCAATGTAGGGGTCAAGCTCGAAGACTAGTTGAGACCGAGTAAACATCATATATAAACATTTTAAAACAACATTTCTGCTTTCATCATTTTCTAAAAAAATGAATTCATTCCAGGACACTAAAAGTAGCTGGCAAAAGATGATGAATATTGTCTGAATTCTAGAAGATTGCTTGATTATATCCTTTCTAATCCAATTAGCTCACCCATTGTGTTTAATGCTAGTCCTGCGTTACACACTAACAAATGTAGTGGCCATCCGGTGGCTTTAAACTCTTCTATAAACCTCTTGGTAGACTTTAGCGAGGCAAGGTCTAGGTGCATATAATGTAACTGAAGCTCCCCGGGCAGCTGTAACCCTGTAGTATTTCCTTGACGCAGTTTTGCGAGGTCTTGACGCATTTCCCCTATAGCCTAAAGAATATAATGTTTCAACTGCCATGATATACGTTGTTAGGACGAGGCATATTACGCGAGTCAACACTTCGATGAACGTAATTCTATCAATCAAGTTGGTTTGCTAAGATTGAAAATATAGTATCTAATGATAGTATATATAGACTAGTGCAAGCAAGGCAATAAAAGGATTCCGAATCAGGTTCTCCTACCTTTGAAGTTTTCTCTTCGTTCCTACAAGCCATGATAACTTTAGCTCCCATCATCGCTAAATTCTTTGCAGTTTCATATCCGATTCCAGCTGAGGCCCCCGTAACTATGACAACGCAATCAGACGGCAGGGTCACCTTCTCGTATGACACTCTACCTCCCATTATAGTCTAGTAGTCACAAAATGTTTTACAGAATTATTATAGACTTTGGACCATAAATATTGCAGCGATAAGTACACAATTAACCGTAATAGCTGTATATCGATCGTACATATAAAATTCATTTTATTGAATTCAGTCTGAATAGTGGCTCAAAGGTATCAAACATGACTATTTTCTGAGGATTTAAACCATTCCATTACAACTTTTGGTCCTTTCCATTTGGCACTCGTGCTTAGATATTCATCAGAATGCATTACACTCCAGTCACTCTTAAAATGGTATTTTTTAGACAAAATTATAGTAAAAGTAAAAGGATCAGCTTTCCTTCACCCGTCGCTACAGAACTAGCTGGAAAAAGAACTTCAGCGGAGCGTTAAGTATTGGTACCGTTAATATTAACGACGAGCATTGCAAGACGTACATCCACTTCAGGAATGCTCTGACGGATTTCATCAGTCGGGCCAAGAGGCTTCTACCACGCGGTGACTTTTATGTTGTAACGAACGCCCTTTTCCATGGCAATACGCCTTTTGCAATGATGCGATGAATTCGAATTCCACGTGAGGACGGCATGAGTCTGACATACAAAACTGCAAAGCATGAATTTGCGCATATTGCACGACATAATATGGATTGCAATACTGCACACTTTTTGTACGATGTGCTTAGGTATGATATTATTCATTAATACTAGGAATTTATATAGAATTAATTTGCCTCATCCTTCCCCGCCTTCTAAAAATGTACTAACATTAACGTATTATATTGTGCTTATAGTACAGTATGTAGGGTCTCCTTTCGCAAAACTATATGATGAAAGTTAACTTATATCAAAATAATTGTCATCTTCCACATAGATTCGGGTATACTCGAAGACATGGCTGCACTATGAGGACAAACGCAGGATTTGCCTTCAATGAGGGCTGGGCAGAATACTGGGCCAGTGATTGCCACTGTATATCAGGAGACGGAATGGACATGAGCATTGAAGGCAACGTTGCGGCGGCTCTCTGTAAGATTGCCGAATGCAAAGGCCATCCAATGATGTGGAATATTCTTGCGGCAAACATCGGCCGCATCCACAGTTACAACGAATTCATACAAAGGATAGGAAACTGTTAGAGAGACGTGCAGTTATGATATAGATTGATAAATGCTCTAAACCCTGACTTTCCTAATTGATTTACTTAAGTCATTGAATTCATTTATATTTGGACTGTGTAGGGTTACAAATCCATATGATTTTACAATATTTAAAATAAGGATAAAACAGTACAAATTTACATCAAAACATATCAAATTAAGCAACCCAATGTTTTTGCAAAAAGTTGTGAGTTGATACTGTTTATACAGCAATCATATTCTTATTTTCTTGAACACTTCATGCTTTATTCTTGAAATTGATAAATAATATATATCCCAGGTGGAAAAGCACCAATCATGTTATCTCTTTTATTCATATTTTTATTTTCTAAATAATTTCATTCTCATTTAACATTTGGCATGGGAAATTTTGGGTTCCCCAGTTGCGAAACAGAATTTGGCACCAGTCCTGTTTAAATATTATTCCATATAGTTAACTAATGATGTTCATAGGGTATTATGTCAAAACGTTTGTCTCCATATATGTTCTGTTTGTAAAATGAATCAGTTTTGAATAGTCACTAATTGGTCTTTTAACGATGTTATCCCTTTGTTATGTGAGGTAGTCTTTCAAACATTCCCTAGTATAAACATCCAATATTTCATGATTCTCCTCGTCTCTGAAATGGCCAAATTGTAAAATGAATCAGTTTTGAATAGTCACTAATTGTTCTTTTAACGATGCTATCCCTTTGTTATGTGAGGTAGTCTTTCAAACATTCCCTAGTATAAACATCCAATATTTCATGATTCTCCTCGTCTCTGAAATGGCCAAATACAGACAGAATATTATCTTGATTATGTATTTCTGCATACAAATCATTCGCCGTTGATATATACAGGGTGGTCCAAAAAAGTGGACCCCTGCAACAGGCTATGCATGAATTTGCTCATATTATCACATCTTGTACAGAAGGGTCTAAAATTCTGTTGACACCATCATTTATTCTCAGTCTTGAATTTCGAAGAAATCACAAGACTTAAACAAACATCCCTCAAATTAGATTTTGTGCAAAATTTTACCAATGAATGTGATTGACAGAAATTGTTGATACACATTAGATGATCTTAAAAAAGCTTTCAGTGAGAGATTATAAGTTTAAACCCTACCATATGACAAATTGGACACTATTTGAGCAGGAAACACATTTCACCCTTTTATTGACCATTTTGAAGCTGTTTTAACCATTCGACAATTTAGAGGCATGTTACCTACACAAACGGGTAGAGGGGGGCACAGTTACCCCTTGTGACCCAAAATCTGAGAAGCCCTTCAAAAGGAAATCTAATATTCAGTGTTTTAGCCATATTTCATTAGAATTGGTCCATGATAAATGAAGATATTGGCATTTTAAGACCATATAGGGTTATGTTGCGATTTCACTAGAAGATGTTCTCGTCCTTGGAAACATTGAACCTTTCTTTTGATCACAATAACTTTGCAACTAACAGAGGTAGGATGCTAATTTTTACATCATATTGTGTGGGATTCAAAATCAAACGACTCCGGCTTAAAAGATTTCCATGGGAAGATTGTTGAAGGGTTGAAGAATCGCAGATATTGAAGTTCACATTTTACGTTAGGGCTTATAATTTCTGCAAATTTCAATACTAGGAAAAATGTATAGTACCATCAAAATCGTTAGACCTTCCTCTACAACATTGTGAAACTATGGAATGATTCCTGCAGGTAATAAGGGAAATATAGCCGGTTGCAAGAGTTCATTTTTTGGACCACTCTGTAAGTAATGTTGCTTCTTCTTGTCAATTACCGAATAGTAAATTACCTTGCGTCACCACTGACTGTCACTTGTTTGCAGTTTTCATAGTAACCAGATTTTCCCTTAAGGTCGGGCTTTACTGCACAGTTCAACGATGTGAACGCTCCCTTAACAGGATTTTTAGTGAAACCTAAAATATAGTAAGTGTATTTACATATTAATTATTTCGGCTTAGCGGATGAATGTTGATACATTTATTGACTTCGATTTTCGATTTCGTTTGTCCCACATCATTTGAGAATGAATGTCCTTCTTGTATTATACTAAAATAGTATCTGCAACTATTTTTGATGGTTATCAATTTATTCTTCAACATATATTGTAATGGTTTCTGTATGAATGTCCCTTGGCTGTTAGAAATATGGTCCTGGTTTGTAATAGTGGAACTTAAATGGTAGGGAAGAGGGCATGAGACATTGATTATTTCTTTCTTTTCAAGTTGAATTCTGGTTTGGTATGGTTTGCGTTTGTTTTCTTTGACCGGTGTATATTAGGGTGTTTTATTTTTCTTGCTGTGACCTGTAATAAATTTTGATATTTTCCTATTGATGTGCGTCCATATTTACGAATATGGGCCTTTCCAAACTGCAGTTTGTAATAGATTAGATGCGAGTAAAATAAACTTGATTTACGTCATTATAAATTCAAAAGTCAGTCAAACTGATGTCATATATTGGAATCTACATATAAAATTACATCTGGAAACTTGGTTTTGAAAAGAGTTCAACTTTGAAAATTTAATTTTCTTTGAAAATGTGACTTCTAGGTCGGGGAGATTCCCCATAGACCCCATGTTCCAGAATAACAAAAAGTGAAATATCTTTTCTTGTGTTTGGCAGATACTATTTTCTTTTACTGGACATATTTAATGTGTATAACTATCATAAACATAAGAGTAATATGAAAAGTGAACCATGCCACTAAAACTGATGAATACTCAAGTTAAAGGGAACCTTGTAATACCCTACCATGTTATTTCCCCCAATTAACCACCTGGTGTCGAAACTGGTAACTACTTACTCGCATCTGAGTAATTGCCTACCGAGTTTATACGTGAATCTAATACAACTCTGCATTGAAGGTGAAAGATCTCGCGAGAACTCAGTTAGCACACTTCCCGGATGGATTGAGAATACACCGATATTCTGAATATTTCTCTGTTGCAGTTGACTGTACAGCTTTGTCATATGCATCACCTGGATAAGAATTTATTTATCAAATCGATTATGCCTCGACTTCAAAAACCCATATATTCATACATTTTATTCTCTGGGATATAGTCACTATACAACCCGTGAATATGTTACATTGATTTTCATAAAAATGTTAAAATACCTAGTAAGTTATTTGTACACATTGGCCTGTAGCACCATGCTTAGTTGGATTAAAATTCGTCACTTCTAAAGTTACATCCCACAATTTATATATCAAAACACTTTACGAGCATTGCTCTATACTATAATAAAATTTGCATAATTTTGCTAAAATTAAGGTGAAAATCGTTTTTTTCTCTGGAATATGGGGAAAACTAATTTATAAATAACAAATCGGAAGAAAAACAGTTCTATGAACAATTAGGAGGAAAATCGGAGTAACCCAATCTAAATTGACAGTTGGAAAGATTCGGGAGAAATCTGGATTGCTAAAAATAAATCGGAGGAAAAATCAGGGTTTACAACTAAGATAGGGGTGTCTCGTTGAAAAATCGGGAGTTTTTAACAAAAGAAGGGAGATTATGTGAAAAATCAGAATTTTTGAATATGGGGGGTCTGACTAAAAAATCGGGGTAAACACAAAAGTCGGAATTTCTTCCGATTTAGATTGGGACTTTACACGGGAATATTGCTCATCCATTGTAAGTAAACGTAAAATTTTGCATATGATGTTAAATAATATGAAATGAACGGGTAATGTACTCTTTACCTGGTAGCACTTAGAGTTACTATATAGTTTAAGTAAAACGCCGCTCGTCTTGGCCTTCTTTGTTCCTTCAATGTCATCCTTCTTAAATTTGCACATTTTGTAGATACCACTTGACACCAGTAATATGCGACAGTCTTCCCCTGATGATTGCATTATGGGTAATAGGTGTTCTACGATTAGGTAATGGCTTAGGTAGTTCACCTAAATATGAGAAAAAGAAATCGTGAACCATGCACTGGCGGATCCAGAAGTGACAAGGGGGGCAAATGTTGAGAAAAATTTTGGGCCCCAAAAAAACAAAAATTGGACCAAATTTGGCAAACTGTATTCTTTCCCCAAGTTCCTACGCCAATGCTCCATTTCAGCCTTTTTTGATGATCACAACTTTCACGTTTAACCAAAACTTGTTATAAAAATGGTATGACTGCACGGCACATTGATCTCAGAAAAACAACAAGTTTTGGTCTGGTTAAAAAAATAGTATGCCTGCATGGCAAATTGATCTCAATCGAAAACAATAAGTAGGTTTGGATATATACATAATTATATTCACCTGAAACATTGTCTCGTGGTTATCTTCTGTCATTACTGAAATTATAATTTACTGTTGTATACTATAATAGTAAATACATAACAATTTTGCGCACGTTTGAACTGCGAGTAAAACAAAAGTGGATAATAAACATACCCTTCGTAAAGTACTACATATAAAAAGCAGAATTTATTGGTATGTTTGAATATTAATGCGCTTCCCAAATTATAAACTTAATGTTGACAAACACACTTAATTAATAACCCACTGTACCTTGTTTATCCCAAGCCATACCAGCGTTACAAACTAACAAATGTAGTGGCCATCCAGTGGCTTTAAACTCTTCTATAAATTTCTTGGTAGACTCAAGCGAGGCAAGGTCTAGGTGCATATAATGTAACTGAAGCTCCTCGGGCAGTTGTAACCCTGTCGTATTTTCTTGACGCACTTGTTCGATCTCTTGGCGCATTTTCTCAATCGCCTGAAAATGAGTTCATATATCATATTTATAACACGTTGGTACTCTATACGAATTTTCGATAGTAAACATACTCTCGCGAAGTAATTGATTGGCAAATACGAGTATGTGGTACTACCATCCTCCGAACACACTAGGCCTTCAGAACTCGCCCCCTTCTCCTTCCAAGAAGAAGGAAGGAGCGTAGTGGATGTCTAGAGCCCTGTGTTCGGAGAATGTGTAAACTAAACTAAATAAACTAAACTACAATAATCAGAACGTTAAATTGCACTTATCTGTTATGTTTCTTTAACAGAACGTACTCACTTGGATGGTTTTTCCTTGGTTTCTACAGGCCAGGACAACCTTGGCTCCCATAATTGCAAGATTTTTCGCAGTTTCGTATCCAATTCCAGCTGAAGCTCCAGTTACAATGGCAACATAATCGGAAGGTAGAGTCACCTTTTCATATGACACCTTCCCTCCCATTGTAATATCTTAAGCTTAATTGGTAGTCTATAATGATTCCTGTGAAAAGCTATGCAGTATGTTAAAAATTGACAAGTTACATGCGTCCGTTTATTTTGTATCGTATTAGTATTTTATAGTACAAATACAAAGTATACATGCCATACATACCCTATGTGGGCCTAGTTCGTTTCACTGATCTGCTTTCGAATTTGACAGAAAGCCAAAATCACAATTGCTTTTTCATTGCTAGTGTAAGTGTACAGTCGTAATTTAATTCTATTTACATTAAGACTCCTGTACAGAAATAAACGTAGATATACTTATATTTAACCTTTAGTTTTGTATACCGTCCTTTTACACTAAAACATTATTGATATATTATTTTATTGTTTGTTTACAGAAATACCATTTTGGACCATTACAACGTTTCATTTCATATATTCATGGGCACAGATCTAGCTCAGCAAAACAGTTCCTAGTGTTCATTAAAACTGAATAGAGTCCTTAGCATGCCATTACAAGATAATGATACGGCGATCACACTGAGATAAATTAAATTTGAGATAACTTAATCTGGATAGGATAGAGCTACCACCGTAAAGCTACCTGTTTCAGAAAATTATTCTGCTCGAAAATCACCCCGCCAGTCTAAAAATTCTGTTCCTAACCAAACTTGGAAATGTTTCCTGATAGTTTAGTATTTACTCTATCGAGAATTGCACCTCGATCCTAGATGGCACTGCGATGGGTCAGAAAGATAAAAAAAAAGCTTTTTTATACGTGAAACCAAATAACCGCTAGTATCCCTACTAAGAGCTTTATTATATTTTTTCAAGGGTAGATTTTCATGTTCAGAAATGCCAAGTGGCTTCCTGATTGGAGTGTTTTCATAACTCATTCCGCTGTAAATGCGACGTACGTCTTTTAACTTCAATTTCAGAAAATTATTAATCATCAATTCGTAAATTGATGTTATTTTTGTACAAAGCTGAAAGATGTAGACCACATGTGGAACATTCAATACCTCGAGGCGATTTTCCCTGACTCTGTTTTGAATTTATGAAATAGCTAAAAACACAGCCATTAATCATATGACAGTGATTCACTATGTTTTGGAGAAGCAAATATATTATGTCCTAAACTCAAGAAAAGCATCAATTCAATAGTTAAAGAAGTTATTGCAGTTAAAAGACAATTTGTTGTAGAAATAGATATTTGAGCACTTCCTATATTGGTTTCAAAAATGACACGCAGCATGGGAAAATGGCACTCATTGCGTATTTCTAGCACCTTGGAAATCAAAGATGTCAGTATGATAGAACGAAAATGGACGGATCACAGATTTAAAGTACAGTAGAGCTAACATTTTCTAGGTTTACTTAAAACAACACCAAATGTATCATAGCTGCAAAATAAAAGAATTCCCTTTGCACGATTTCCCTACCCATCGGCATTATTTTCCAATCCTTTATTTCGTTAAAATAAAGGTTGGGATAACTAGTATGTCCCGATCTAATACGTTTATTTGTTGTTTCATCAAATGAATTAAAGTAATTATTTATTATTTATTCAATCAGATCGTTCCGATTTATTTTAGCATAAAGTTCGAAGATTCGATTGTTAAAACTGTGTTCCATTCTCTGGAGTGATTCAAATTTCCCGTAAATACCCGGAAAAGTGTTCCGGCGAACGATCATTAGAGGATTTATATCCGATAAGTTCTTAGCCCGTTTAAGTGGTTAACCTGCAGTCTGAGGTTCTAGTTAAGCTTGATTAATTTTAAGTGGAATCAACTCGAACGCTTCATATGGACCTTTTTGCTATGTAAATCAAGTCAGACTTTCAGGTTTATTAAACAAAGCGTGACACTTATTAATGAAAATCTATGGTTAACTGGATTATTTTAGCTTTCGCGAAATCCAAACCAAAAATACACTGCATTTCTGATCGGGAAATAAGATAAATTCCTTGGACTGTTAAAGCTGCATAGTTAATTAAGCATGGATTACTGAAACAAGGTGGTTGATATTAAAGTTTGTTGATACATACATTTGGAAGAGTGATGTAAAGTTGGCCTAACCAGGGACACGTTACAATAACATTATCAGCATTCTTATAACAAGCTACCAAACACACAAGAACTTTTTGCAAACCTCGATTAATCGTAGGGTATGGAATGGCTCAGTAGTACGACGAAGAATCAACAATAGGGTAAAAAGAATTCCACGTCCTGGGGCACACCCCGAGATCATTTGTATAACAGGCGACAATAGTTACGTTTCTAGGCAACAATAAAAGCGTTCTTTTGAAGCAACAGTTGCTTTGGTGAGGGAGGATAGGGATTAAAGGACACTCTAGGGACGTTGTTGTTGAACTTTTGTTGGAGACAATAGGAGCGTTACCAAAAAGAGCGTTGCTAAGAAACGATGCTTACATTGCTCCCGAACAATTGAGACGTCGTTGCGGACTGTTCATGTTACTAGTAGGGAGATAATAAGGAAATTGCTAGGAACCAATAAAACCGTTTTCCGAGACATTACAATAGGAACAATTTACTTTGAGATAACAGAAACGTTACTAGGAAACCATAAAACACGTTCTTTTTGGACAACAGGACAATATTGGAGCGTTCTCGGGCACAACGCGAACGTTGTTAAGAAACTACAATGTCATTGACGGAAAGCATTGTAATGTGGTTCGCAATTGTATCGATATTCTTACTCTCAAATTCTCCTAACGTTTTGGGATATACATACAAACAAGGGTATGTAGTTTTTACCTGGTAACATAAGAAGGCATGATAAAAAAACATTGAAAAAGAAGTTAACATTCATTCCCAAAAAATATTTAGAAATAACTATAAAGGTTTTTTAAAATGTTAACGTTTTATCAACAGCGCATGTCAACTTAGTTTAGAAAACAGACACGTGAGACATATTTCGTAATATTAATAATCAGCAGAAAATGCCCTACTAAAAGTATTTAACGTGTTATGCTACACTCGAGATGACTTTTCAAACAAAAATCTGCTTTCACCACAATGATTTGTTTTATCATGATTATGGCCACAATTTATAGCCCAAGATGGGGATAGGGGTACATTAACCTTTCACTAATCGAGTATCTTATGTTTTGTTAAAAACAAACTGTTGCAAAAATCCCAATAACAAATATACCTACTCACGACCTTTGAGTACTATATCTAATCAAACTGGAATTGTTCCACTTTTCGGCAAAAAGAGGTTATATTAACCCTCTCCCGGATATTTTCAAGATTGTATACCCAGTTAAAATGAATATACCACCGACAACTTTCAAGGCTCAAAAGTATTATTCTTTACACCAGAGAGTTTTCAATTTCATCGAGGCGCTCTTAAAATTTCATTGAAAATCTCGTTTTAATGTAAATTTGCGAGACTTGCAAATACAGTGTAGTAATTAATCCCCAGTGAACCATTTTTCTACTATCTAATTAACTATTTGAAAATAAGCTAAGCCAATTTTAGTATACTTCCCTCTTAATGTGGTTTACATAAATTAATTAGAAATAATAGAAAAATCAAGAATAAACTAACATTTTTGTACACACTGTCGTGTTATTTGGCCTGGATTAAACAAAATGCTGCCATCTAACGACATGTATTACAACTTAGTCTCGTAAAGTTTGTATCAGTTGACTTAAATAGATAAACCCTGTTGTTACATTTTGCGTTCTAACTGTATCCTATGACACTTACTTTTAGATTTTTGAATAACGTGGCCTAGCTGCCTTACACTGATTTTTACATATTAGGTAATATAAGTTTGCCACCAAACATAAACCAATTAATAAAAAATTTGTTAAGAAATTTAGTGGAGGAATGGAAAGGTCAAAAGTCGAAACGGTATTTGCGGTCATTATTTTGTAATGTATCATTGATGCAACTTTTAAGTTGATTGCTGAAACAGTGTACATATGAGATGCATCGTACTAATAATCTACATTAAGAAGGTCAAAATTAAAAGTTTGAGCTATAAGATTCCCAAAATAGACTAAAAGATGTTGGACTTGGTCAAAATGTCAAAATCCCCCCTTATTCATAAAAGCACTATTTAATCAATTTTGATAACAAAAGGCTGTAACTAATAGACCTTCATACGTATTACGATATCCTTATTACTGACACTTTTTCCTTTTTAATGGTATATTGCGACAAATCACACTAGTTTGCCAAACCCATTAATAAGACATTGAAACCTCTTAACTATATCAGATTTTATTTGGTAACATTTGAGTTTTCCACTATCCAGTAATTAGAAATAAGTGTGCCACAACAGTACATAGATTTTCATCATTAGTGAAAGTTACAAGTATCTAAAATTGTATATTTTCATCATTAGAGTGAGCCAAGAGATTTCCCTTCTTAAATTGAAGATTTATTTGCAAGAAAGACAAAATTGTTGCGAAGGGTCTCAGCTGCTCTGTTATAAATTACCAATGCTTCATTTTGTGTAATTGTGGATATCTGTATCGCATTTGATGTTAAGAGGTTACTTTAGTATTTACAAGGATCGAGACAAAACGAGGTCAAAACTTTGATAACACAAAAACAAATCAAACGTCCTTTAAGCAATTCTCGTTCTGCTAGTTACACAAGTGCAGATGGAGAAATTAGGAGGTTGTCCCTTTCAAAACATAAAAGAATAAATCACAACTGAGTTCCGACACTTCTCTACGATTTACTGAACTTTTAAACTATGAAAGAGTACGAGTGTTGATCAATAAGTATTGAGGATTTCTTAATGAAATGAGTAATGCGCTTGTTTGCCATTCGTAGATAAGTATTAATGTTTTAAAACACATGAATAAAGTGTCATTAGGTGTATTAGTTAGATGTTGCAATTAAAATCTTGCTAATCGCGTATTCGGTCGTAATACTTCAGTTTTTAAAGCTTCTGAATTAAACCGACAAGCTAAGCATATCATGAAATCGAAAGCTTCGACTTCTTTGGCCAAAAACATCGTAACACAGTTTCTTTCGGGCCTAGCCTCCCTCGTGGGCCCTGTCATAGCATCTTTCTCTTCAACCGATATTGGAATGGCTCTGTCAGTATTACCATGGGCTTTCATTGGCATTTTGGGATTTGACAACATATAAGTTAAATGAATTATCACAGGGCAAAAAAGAGCACATCAGGTTGATATTTGCATTATTTGTCCATTCTGTGCTTGAAAATGAAGAGAATTGTAACTCGATCGGATAAAAGTTTGAGATTGGAAGAGATAGGACAAAAAAAGTTATTTACCTTGATCATGGGCTTTCAATGTATTTGATAGAAGACTGATATTTTCCATCAGTCGTTGAATAACATTTTTTTGCCCACTCCAATAATTACTTTGATTCCCACGAATTGTGAAATCCAGACCTTGTTTCTGTTACCACACGAGTGGTGACATCGGCCTTGTTTCTAAGCTCAGATGATAGCATATAGCGAATATAGTAATTCTTATTATTAGCGCACAATGTATAACATATCCTAATCAAGAACATGCCGGTTTAAGATAATTCTAAAGTGGCTCTGTAGGGCCATTGGAATATAACAACCCTCTATGTTCTTCTATCAAAAAAGCTCACATTCCCCGGCATTTTTCACCTTGATCATACATTGACGGGGGCAAATTGTAATTTTAACTAAAACAAAGTGAGGTCTTGAGTCTTGACTGGTATTGGTGAAGTGATATCCAAATTTCAGAAAATGAGACATACTTGTACCTTTGTGTTTTGTGCACTGGAAAGACTATCTTATTCTTGTGAATCCAGTTCAGATTAGCATGTGTCGAAAGTCAAAGATTTGTTACACCACATTCAAAAATTTGGCAACTTTATCTTCCTACTGGGTAACCTGTTAAAGCCAATTTATGTTTCAACGTTTATCAGCAGTTGCGTTAGATGAGATATTTATAAAAAATTAAATCGCTTTAATAAGTATGAAGTAGTTTCTAACAGGCGGTAATACGTGGTGTAATATGGAAGTTGGCGTCGCCAAATATTTTGAGGGCAGTGTAACTTTGGGTGTTCACCAGTGTCTATTGCAATTGTGCACTTCGGTGGTCGCTCTCTTGCATATGAGACCCATTTAAAATCAAAGTAAAGATTTATTGTAACATGCAAATCATATACCGAGCAATGTCGTCACATGATTGACTTCATGCTCCTATAATAATAGTTGAAATTGAAGATTTACACAGGTGGAAAATGACAGTTTCCCCATTAGGATCAACGTTTCTTGATATGTTTATTTACAGTAACTTTTCATATTATATAGATCTCAATTAGTGCCATATATGGCCATATATCATTGTTGGTGCTCATAATCCTATTTTATCATACACGACAACCAAGACCAAATATAAATTATTGGGGAATTTCTGAATTGACAGCATATCATTTTTCGTAAGATACGTCGAATTTGTTCTAAATTTTTCGATTTTCCGATGAAACATGCACGTAAGGAAATACCGAAGAGAATGAGTACAAGTGGTTCCTACTTCAGAATTGCACAGGTCTCACCAAGACTCTTGATGAGCGTTACTACATGTTAGTACCAATCACGTGACACTGCTTGATTCCAGAGCTGGCGGTTGATTAGAGCTCCCCGGCCACCCAATATCATTTACAACGCAGAAGTGAAACAGTACAAATGCTATGATTTAAAAAATGTTTATTTCCTCCTTTACAGTTTATTTGTATTAAAATTAGTTATACATAGTAAGAGATGAACGTTTCAATTGCGGTTTATTCGCCATAAGTACTAGACTATTTGTTTTGCTAGTATATGTTTAGTAGCTTTCAAATGTCAAACACAAAAAAAGAAATTAAGATTACACAAAAATGTTGACCAACTGCAGTCCTTAAGATAAATAAGTAGCTGACAATCCTTTCAAAATGCTTATCAAATCCTTTTCAAAATGCTTGCCCAAACATGTTCCGACCTGTGACATAGTATTTGGTTAAGCTACCCTTTCAGACTGTTTCAATGTTGGCTTAGATAGTGTCAGTACGCCTATCATAGCCCTATAAGAAATGAAATATTGACTCCTTTGAATACTTACAACTGTATATGCCGTATATGTTTATTGTTCGCTTGTTTTCCGTGCATCTTGACATGTTTTTTCAAGGAAAAATCACCGAGAGGTCTGGATGTACTCTTATTTTTATCTTGATTCGATTTTCATGGACCACAAAACAAATTAGCCGAAAGTGTTTAGGTTCCTGTCTAGAATTCGTCATTGGGTGAAGAAGAATAAAAATCCACTGATGATAGACATATTTGGTGATTTCATCAGTCTGTCTGCAAGCTTACATGTAAAATGTCACACGTACCAATATTACGTCATAGGAAAAACTTTGCATGTTAAGCAACATGTTTCAAAAATTAGTTTTATTTTTTCCATTGAGATTAGAGCAAATCTACCCTGGATATTTAATTCAAATGTCAAAAACTGGAACGCCGTGCTTTTCTTGATTCACTAAATAGCGAATGAGCGAATAACAGAAACAGATACTTGACACAAAGCTTATTGTAGTTGCTGATGGAATATTCAAAAATGTTCCATATCATCTTTGTTATATAATTCATGGTTTTGATTTCTGTGTTTACTGAGCTTTATTTGCATAGTCAAAAAATAAACCTCTACATGGAGATGGCACATCGTTATGGTGTCCAATGTCCGTAACTAGACAGTGACATTATTTCTTGTTTTCTTTATATTGTCTCTATTTT